TTGCAACTGCTATAGCAAGGGATGACTGGCAAATATACCTTGTCAGATCTGAGCGGTATACGTATAGTGAAATTAGCAAGTTTTCTTGGTATACTCATAGTCAGCTTAGCAAGTTCTCTTGGAGGTAAACTGGCGTGTGACCTATGACCTAACAAGGAAGGCAAATTGGACGCCGTTGAAGCGAACCTTACCCCGGAAGTACGGATAGAAGGCTACGTAGATGTCGATCCGGTCAGGAGGTCGTTTGCTAAGCACACCGTATGTAGATGTGGCGCATGTGACGCGTTCACGCGAACGTATTTCGCGCGTAGACCTGATGTAACACCCCGCACAGATTCCGGCGAAAACGGGCATCGTGGACCCAAGACTCTAGGCGTGAGTGTTTTCTCCTGATGCGTGACCTTCTACATTTTCGCAGAAGTCTTGAGAAGAAGACGGACTTGCTGCAGAGTAATCATACTTGCGTAGTCGCCTAGAGCCTGAAACACGTTATAGGATTAGGCCATTCCAACCGCGCAACGTGATTGATCGGGCATAAGCTTAGAGTGACAGTCGCAGATTTAGGTACCAGAAAACCCCAGACGGAGTATGACGACCCCAGAAGCTAGAGTGCGTAGTATAGGCCAGGTGATCTAGGATTTACAAGCTAATTTAGCGGGAACCTGTAGTATGGTCAAGGACATGGCAATGCAGTTGCAGTTTTCCATGCATCATTCTAGGCCATCGGAGGAAAGCTGTCACGAGCGATGTCGGCAGTTCGCTCTGCGCGTTTCTCCTACTTTTTTCTCTGGTTGCATGACGTAGTGCAGCTCGGAGACATAACACCCTGAAAATCCTCAAAAGATTGGTTTTGCCGATGCGCAGCGAAGGCGCCAAGGCAGATTCCATTGTCACTTCTTTCGGGAAAGACTCGCACCGAAGCTCTGCCGCGAATAGGGTCCTTTCGTGCAACCACACGGCTGGCGCAGCATCTGAGAATAGAGTAGAGTAGCGAGGGTTGTATTTGGTTGGGTGGCGGGTCGATTGGATTGAACGCATGGGGCGAGGAACGACGGGGATAAGCAAGACGCTGCTTCCGGGAATGCCAACGGCAGCTGACATAACAATCTACCTAGATGAACTTGTGCAGTATCGCAGGCGTGGTGGCGAACTAGGATGGAGGTATGATGGAGTGATGAGATGCGATGTCGAGACGTGAAGGTGCGATCAAGGTGTGGCGTGGCGGCTTACGGGCCACAAGAGTAACGCCGGCAGGTTGGGACGAATCAGAGGCAGTTGGTACCATGTCGCACCATACGCAGAGTGCAACCAACGGACGTCAATATATCCAGTCAAATAATCCGACAGGCTCTTCTAACGACTGCAATCACTTGTTTCTTAGCACCCATCCGCCCAGCCATAGAAAGCCTGGTACAGCGGTGACAGCAGACAGCGCTCCCAGCACCGCTGCCATCGTGCCCCATCCACTGTCCTCCACGAGAAATCCAGCCAGCAAGGGTCCCACCATGCAGCCTCCAGCGAATGCGCAGTTGTATAGTGCATAAGCCTGCGCGAACGCACCACCTTTGCCAAATCCTGGGCGTCCATTTGCAATCATCTTCTTTTCTTTTGCTTCAGCAACAGCGGATATCTCTGCCATGACTGGTGCAAAGGTCATGCCTACGAACAATCCAGTGACAGCCAACAACGCGCATATCAACACCTTGTCCTTCATTGTGTTCTCGTCTATGAAGCGGAGGCAGACGAGGGGAGGACAGCCACACAGGAAGCCTACGACAACCACATAGCGTCCGCCGTATTTATCGCTCAGCCAACCCCACAACGGCGAGAGGAGGCTTGGAATGATGATCGGAAGGAACAAGAGTGCGGCGCCTGTTGAATTCCAGTTGAATGTGTTTGCGGCATGGATAGTAAGAACAGAGTCGAAGGCTGTCAACAACATGGCCTGAATAAGAGCGCAGAACAGTGAGGCGAGTAGGCGTCGGGAGTACAAGAGCGACAGGACTGGTGGTAGACGGTCGCGTAGACGTCGACGAGGCGGACTGTTCTGCTGCGTTTCGACGAACGACGCTTCTTGCTGCAATACGGTCTTGCTAGCATCTTGGTCAAGGTCCTGACCTGCCGGAGCGATGACCAGCGTTATGGTCTTGTCTAAGTATGCGTTTTCGTCGACGGATGGGCGGCCCGTAGCGTTTGTATCCCATCTCGCGGCAACCTTCTTCTCCACGAGCAGCAACCGGAGAACCACGTCCAAACCAACCAGTGCATAGCACATGCCAAAGACAGCATTGTAGCCAGCCTTGTCGTAGACTACGCCACCCAAAATAGGGGATATGAGCATGCCAAGAGAAACGCCTATAGTCAGCCACCCAGTAGCTGTTGCGAGTCGCTCTTGAGGCACTGTGTCAGCCAGCAAGGCGAGGCCGACGACCCATACCACAGCCGCTGATGCTCCCTGCAGTATTCTTCCAACGATGAGACCGCCAATCGAGTTGCCAAAGTTTAGCAGGATGGTAGCTCCCAAGAGGACTAGCAAGCCCAGAAGAAGCGGAGTTCGGCGTGACGAGCCGCGGTCTGCAAGCCACCCGCAAATGGGCGAGAATGCAAGAAGCGCAGCGCCATGTACGGCGACGAGTACCGAGACCCAGTACTGGACTTGGGCGTCTTCAACATGGCTAAGCGAACCTATTGCGAAGGGTATGACAGGCACAATGACACCATACAGAAACATGTCCTTCTTTTGTCAGCTCCAAGCGATAGCTATATTAGGAATGACTACTTACAGTAAAAACAGCCAAGGAAATAGTCCCGACGATGAATGCATCCGAGCTTCTGACCTTGAGCATGAACGGCGGCTTGGATCCATGATTCGTCAATGACGACAGCCACGAAGATTTCTCCATGTCTGGGGTTGCCATTGTTGGAGGCCGCGGAACATCCTTATGTATGCAATTCGTCCTGGCATCATAATGAAGACTTGGAGCAGTACCATGGTCTTCATGTGGCTCTTCGATAGCATGGTCTGCCATTATTGCCCTAAGAAGGCGCTACGATAGTCGCACCGGCTCCAAAGCACGATTTGGTCTTCTCTTTCGGTCCTATTACCAACACATCTCTCCAAGCAGAAAAAAGAAGGAACGAAAGTGACGGAAAACACGATGCAATGTGTTTGGCGTCGATGTTGGTGTCACACTTTAGATGATGCTCTCGTTCGTGGTGGCGCGATCGCAGCTTCCTTCCAGCCTCGCGTCCACGGACTCCCGGGGCCGCGGCCTTGGCTAATGTCATAACATATCCTTCACGAGAACCGTTTTCTGAGTTTTCGGAGACTCCTTTCTTACGTACAGGACTCTCAAACATGCCATCTCCCGCTTGATGTCGTTCGAATTATGCATTACAAGTTGACTTTTGTTTTTCCGCAAGGAAGCAATTACCGACTATTTGTAGTATATGTTCACACGGTCCACGTCGCCTCGCCGATCAAGCCGACAGATTTCGGTAATTGACTATGTTGTTTACACGACGGTTCGGCACTTGGCTTATTTGCCGATAGCTGAGGATGCAAGAGAAGACACAGACATGTGCAGCCATGCGATTTGTTGAGAGAAGTGAGAGAAGTGCTTGATAGGTGTGCCTGGAGATGGCCATGTGAGTAGGCGGTGATGAGCGAAACTTAGCAAGGTTCTGTAGTATCACGGGCCTAGCTGTGCATCATACTATCGTGTTCGGCGAACACATAACTCGGGATTGCGCGTTGTGGTTCGAAGCGCAGTGACAGCACTCTCTGTTGCTACCAACGCTCAGCAGTGCAGTACTATGATAGCGACAATCGCCTGCAGCATACCGAAGCCGTGTGGGAAAGTCGAACAAGGTCTTGATCCGGTCAGAACGTTGTGAGTTAACTTCTTGATCCTTTCGGCGCATGGTGGTCGTCGCGGGTACCTCTGGTGTGAACTGAAGAAAGCTTAGCTATGCATAAAACCCGCGTGGACTTCCTGCATCCCGGTACCTCAACTTCATCAAAGGCCACGCACTTCTACTCACTATCAATCATTCGACTCACTCGATGGACCTTTCCCTCTACTAATACCCGGGTACTGCAGAACGCTTTTCTAGGTATCGATGACATCACTCTCAGATAGCTCTTTGCTTCTTTCTCATCTCGCCACTGATTGTCGCCCTTCCGCCACATGTGACCTTTTTCCTGGCTGTTTCATGAAGTTTGAGGTGTGTATATAGAACGATGTTCAAGGTGGGGCTGTCTCATCTGGTACCTCCTTATTCTGCTTCCAAAAGTTCTAGAGATATTGTCTGAGATATGCTGGAGCGTGGACATGTCTACGTCCGAGCCATGAAGACTGCGACAGCTTCCCCAATTTTCTCCTTTACTTCACCTGTTATTGCGACGTCACGAGGCGGCAGCATGCGCTCTTTCACTTTGCTGCCTTCAGTCCAAGATAGAACCGCAGGTCAGTCACGCACGGTCCCAGGTGTCCTGCACAGTATCGCAACAATCTCTCGCCACAGCCATACTTACGCTTAACGCTTCCACTCAACCCTCACGCCGCGCAAAATGGTACGAGTTGAGGGCGCCGCGCCCGTCTGCGTCGCGAGCATCTGCACCCACGCTAAAGCTGCTGCTCTTGCACCGAAGCCAGCCTCTCCATTGCTGTGCCCGACGTGCACAATAACTTCACAAATCGCCGCTATTCAATCTGTACAAGGACAGTTCGATGCGCGCGGCGGAGTGCTCAAGTCCCAGAAAAGGGGAGAAGATCGCCACACGGCAGACGCCCACAAGGTCCTTCGAAAGGCCTGGCGTACCGCCAAGATTGCATTGGCAAATACCATAGAGAAGTTCGAAGACTTGCTTGAAGACAAGAACACACCAGTCCAGGATCTTCCAAAGCTGAGAGAAGCATTGAAAGTGTGGGATAAGAAGAAGATTGTGCTGACTAGGGTACCGGGTCTAAGATACGTCCAGGGTGCGGAAGAAGGAGAACCGACTGATGAGGAGAAGGAAGAAGCGCGGTTACTGATGGTATGGCTGAAGATGGTTATTGAGAAAGAGATGACACAAGAAGAGCTGGAGTCATCTCGAACAAATCCGCCAGTAGACACTTCACTTTCAACGTCGTCGCAAACCCCTGCCACCAGCCAGCTTCAATATCCTGTACCGCAAGAGCCTTCAGGTGTACGTCAGTTCGAGTTCGAGTGTCCACTGCTAGCAATCGCGCAGACGCTTGCCACGTCGTTGCCGGACTACCAGCATAACATCGCGATGCCTAAACCAGTCCTCAAGCGACCTCGCGCCATCACTTTGACAGGCAGCCAATCCTCCTCGCCATCGCCACTGCCCAAACGGGTTCGCTTATCAGATACCGTGACTATGTCGCCTGAACACCTTTACGTCGCCAACCCTCCACCTTTCCAGCCGCTCTCTCGCACTGCAATAGTACTACCACACGCTACTCACACGCTTGCCGAGCACCACCGCCGGCGACCTGAATTCCATCGTACGACTGAAGTATATGTACCTGGCGTTTGGGCGTCGGGGGCTTTCAGTGAGAAGGTCGATACGAGCTTTCGCAGCATGACGCGCCAAGAGATGGAGAAGCGATACAAGCAGGAGTCAGACGAACAGGAGCAAGAGCAGGAGCTGGCGATCAAACTAAAGGATACTAGTAGAGGCTGGGTAGCGCTTTGGTGGGCGAAGAAGATGGCGCCAAACTTGGATCTGGAGAAATTGGAGATGGAGATGGAAATGGAGATGAAGACGTGAAGTGAAGAGATGGAAGTGGGGCAACGTGGTGTTTACTTTTGACGTGCGAGAACTTGCGAAGCACGAAGGATGGGTACTTGCTACGAAAGTATTGGTTTGATGCGTTGCATCGTGGCAGTGTCGCAATTGAAGACTGCATAGCATGAAATAAGCGTTCTGCCCAGTCGTTCGAATGTATGTGTGTGAGTGAGAATGAATAGGATCGACACCGTGTCTGGTCCTTTTACGGATTTCAAGTTCTTAACGTTTTGGTAAACTTAGACGTTTGATGGAGCATAGATTCTTGCATCCTTTTGCAATGGAAGTTTCTAGGTAGAAATCGGAAGCGCCATGACGTTGCAGCGTTCGGTGCACTCCGTCCGAAATGTCAAGCTAACTAACCATCCGAGACTCCGCTTCCGCACGCTAGTGGGCCTTGCCGTCGACTACTCCGTGGGAAGGCACGTAGGCATTACACCATTGAAGGAGAAATGCTACACTTAGGCCCCATATAGCTAGGTACGGTCGAGTGTCGCATGTTTTCTTCGAGTTAGAGTGTGGTCAGAGACCACCTGCATTTGTAACATTCAGCCGCAGAAACGACGGAGTCGGCAAATGTCAATTGCGACGTCGTGCACACCTTGTATGATAAAAGGATGGAATTATTACCTAGAAAACGGACCAGTACGGTTCCTCGCTGCGTTCGAAATCCGTACTTAGATACGTTAGACGTCTTCCAAATCTCACCGAACTCAGATTCAAACCGTCATCATCACAATGAAGAATCTCGTCAACTGCCCTGGCTCAGGAGTCAAGGTCAAGATTGAGTCTGATACCCCCATCCCCGAACCCAGCGCCAAGCAAGTCCTCATCAAGGTCGTCGTCTCCGGCTCCAACCCCAAGGACTGGAAAGTACCAGAATTCGCCGCTAGCTACGATGGCCCTGACGACGACTCAATAATGGCAAGGGGCAAGAGGGGTGTAAACCAGGGCGACGATATTGCGGGCATAGTGGAAAAGGTTGGCAAGGATGTTGTTGAGTTCAAGGTACATAGTCCAGAAACTGTGACAGAGAGAAGAGATGCTAATGCAAGGAGCAGAAGGGAGACCGCGTCGCAGCTTTCCATGAAATGGGCGGGCCTGGAGGTTCATACGCAGAGTATGCACTTGCGTGGGATTGGACTACTTTCCATATCCCTGCCGAAAAGTCTTTTGAAGGTATACTCGTCCCTTTCACCTTGGAGCCCTGCGTTGCAGATGATTAACTTTGTGTCTTAACAGAAGCTGCAACGATACCACTCGCGAGCCTTACCGCCGCCGTAGCTGTGTTCCGCAACCTCAAACTCCCCACTCCCTGGAATCCCGCAACTACTTCGACACCTTTTGTGGTTTACGGCGCCAGTTCGGCCGTCGGCTCCTTTGCTATCAAGCTTGCACGCAACAGCAACGTTCACCCCATCATCGCGATTGCAGGAAAGGGCTCGCACTACGTCGAAACGCTTCTCGATAGCAGCAAGGGCGATATTGTCATTGACTACCGCATTGGTGCTGACGAAATGATAAGCAAGATTCGCGCACACCTCAAGGCAGGCAACTACGGTGAATTGCGACACGGGCTTGACCCTGGCATCGGGCTTCCCAGTCAGAAGGTGTTGACAGAGGTCGTCGCATCTGATGGATCAATCGATCTTGTTCTGCCGAGTGACTGGGACGTTGGGTCTTCGCAGACCAAGACAAAAACATCGGTCGGCACTGTTCATAACCAGGACAATGGCGCTCATGGTGCTGATGCGAGTGATCTGGGTTTGGTAACTTGTCGCTGGTTCACGAGAGCGTTGCAGGCGGGAACGTTCGACGGACATCCGTTCGAAGTAAGGCCTGGGGGGCTGGAAGGCGTGGAGCAGGCCCTGAAAGATCTAAAGGATGGGAAACAAAGTGCTGTTAAATATGTTTTCCGGATTGCGGATACACCTGGTCTCTAGGATCCGACAGCTTGGGTACCTAGGTAACCACCCTAACAATCGACGGTTATTTCATGGTTTTCTTTTCCGGGCAGATACTACTTTCGCACCTTATACAACAACGCGTTTTCATGGTTAACGTTTTGAAGCCATGTGCGGGTGGTAGGACCAATAAGCGGATTTCCCCGGAAACGCGATGGGTCTGACCAATGGGTTCGACCGGGGAGTAAATGAAGATCCTCTTTTCACAGAGGTCACATCCATGCTTGCCACCGCCACGTTTTTGTTTCTTCACCCGTTGTAACAGCACATATAGAGGTTCAAAGTACTTTCTTCTTTCTAGATTCCGCATCAAAACCTTAATCGCCAAAATTCACCGGACCTGTCTCCGATTCAATACGCCGATTAAACATCAAGTAAACCCCTTACCCGAACTGGAAAAAGGTATGGTGCAGTAGCTCTAATCCTAGCCAGAATCTAACTTGGTCACAAGAAGAAGAGCTGGATTCTGATGATGAACATAATCAATCGGTCAGAATCGCCGAGGAAAGGAATAGAGCTGCGCATTATAGGCGAAGAGCAGAAGCACTTCGCGAAAGGCTACGAAGGGGCGAGGAGATACCACTTGACGATATCACTGGCCCATACGTAATGTTCTCATCCGATTACCTCAGATTCTACGTCGAGGACATGCTCCCCAGACATTCCTTCGGTGCATTCGATAATTGGGATGTTGGAACCATCGAGATCCGCCCAGGAGCCCTGAGGCCCTTCGATGGAAATCGCAGCAATGCCCTTGGAATACAGTGTTACCTTATGGATCAGCCAAATGAAGGGCTTTGGATAAAATTGGACGAAATTCCAGATTTTGCGGACACACATGCTTTCCATGTCGACACTATTGGAGGAGATGGTGAATTAAATCACGCCTACATTACATTTCTGGGGGAGGGTGTCATTGAGTTGCGCCTCGAAGGTCGAGCGCTAGATGCCGAGCATGTATATACAGCTGATCGGTCACAATGGGGACGGCCGAAGGCACCTCAGGAGGTGCGCTACATTGGGGTGCAAGACGAAGACGAAGTGATTCCGGAAAACGTATACGATTCAGAGGAATGGGACATGGACGCAGAGGATGGCTCAGAGGATGGCTCAGAGGATGATTAGGTACGCTCCATTACTATAAGGGGCTTCGGACATGGACGAGGATGCTAAAGAAGGGTAGTGAGCTTCCGGCATTATTCTAAGGGAAGGAGGAATATCCCGTTGCTCTCTGCTCTCAGGTCATAGGTTGTATTGGGCTGATCTAGGCTAGTATGCTAGGAAACCCTACTATATAGTCTCTTGTCACCGCTGTCGTAGCCTGGTAGCGGTTCGTCTACAAGTCCTGCACGACAACACACCTTATCCTAAGCAACTCTTGTGCATCTAGTATCTAGTATTTCGTGACGCAGTATTATCACCTGGCATCAACCATCATTATCTCATTAGATAGCAACAGAAAAAAAAGCAAACGCCGTCATCGCGACGCGTTCCCAAAACCTTTCCATTACCTAACCGGCCGTCCATCCGTAACCTCTCCATATGCAGGAGCCTCATACTCGCCAAAGCAAGCGTAATCATAATCCGCAAGCTCAATCTGCTTCTGCATGACCTTGAGGAAAGTCTCCATGTCGCACCACCCATCATCTCTATCACCACATTCCTTGTGACTCCGCCCCAGCGGAATAGTCCTCTGGTTAAGTATGAAATGAACGTAGCTAGTCGGCGGTCCGTCGAGGTAAATCTTCTCGTCCGACCGATTGGGGTTGACAGGCGCAGGCGCTTTGATGACTTCGATATCAAGACGGCCAGCAAAGGGCTGGAGGTGCGAGAGGATGAACTCGCGTGGCGTTTTGATATGGGTTGTTGGGAGCACTTCGGCAAACTGCGTGATGCCGAACGCGACGAGGATACTTATAATGCCAGCGTCATGGCTAAAGTCCAGATTGAGGTTTTGGTCTATAGGAAAGGTGACGGTGTTGTTATCAAGGGTGATGTTGATCTGAGCGGAAGGGGAAGTGATGACGTGGTGTTGCATGCGAGCGAGGACTTCTTCAACGTAGCCTGGCTGTTGTTAGCAAGGCGAGAAATACAATGGAGGCTATCAAGACATACCGACGCCAATAGCTCGGCCAACAGAAGAGCCGAACCCTGTACCGGCCTGGAATGAAAGGTCCAGAGCATACTCGTAGCCCTCCCACTCTTCGTACGTAAAGAGACTGCACCAGTGGGAGAAACCGAGCGAGACGGTTTCATACGAACATAGAGCTTGAGCGTTGTATGTATCACTGATTGTCCAGTCAAGATCACCAGTAAGGTTGCTCCTAAACCTTTGATGAGCGTCGTGAAGATATACGCCAATCCACTCCATAAGACCCTCCCGAGCCATAGGCCAGCTTGAATGATTACATTGCTTGTACCCAGCAAGCGTGTTGTTGAAACCAGGCGCCTCAATGGCCAACTCAAGCGTCGCATTTTGCGACCAACCTAAACCAAAGAAGCCCGCAAGGAAGTACTCTGCCGACTCTGTCATGCGTCGTTGCGTTGTACTCCGAACAACGACCTTGCTTCCATTGTTGGGATACAGGTGACCGTATTGGTAATAGTGCAGGGTACCAGAAGTAAACAGCTCTTGCTTGCCATTAGGGACTAGGATCTCGGCGCCGAGCAGGAACTTCCAATCGTTGAGAAAAGAGAGTGGTCCATGGCCAGTGAACTTGCCGGCAGCATCTGAAAGCTTCTTTCCTAGAGTCCTCTCTGCCGCTTCACCACTAACCTCGGGGTACCGACTCCCATGGCGATGAACCATGTTCAGCCATGTTACGTTGGTGCCAGGCGGTATGGAGTATTCGTTCACGCCGAAACCTCTGGGATTAGGGAAGTAAGGGCTGATGTTTGCCAGGCTCTGGAAGATGTTCTTGTTGTCCGCATTACCAACAATGGGGATCTGGGTTTCCAGAGGCGTATTGGGTATGTACGACACACCAGCAAAAGGTGCTAGATTTGTCTGTGCAAGGAACGGTGCAGCGCCAGTTTGGGTAGGGCCTTGGAAATGTCCGTCATCTGTTACAAAATAGTCCGGAATCCCAGACGACTTTGTTGTTGGTGTGGCTGTGCTGTGTTCGCCTTGAAGGGGCACCTGGGCTCCAGATTGACCTATTCGCAATCAGTAAGTGTTGCTCGAAGCTAAAACGAAGCAAAGTGGCTGATGAATGAGGCGCGCGTACCAAGATTGGCCGGGCTAAACGAGTTGAGGAGCTGCAGCGAGAGCTCGAGGATGCCGTGCATGGTGGGGTAGCTACGAGCTCCTACTCAGCGACGCGATCTCGATCTAGATGGAAACGGTCAGGAACGATTGGCCTGCTGCAAGACAAGTCACCGCTTCACTACGCGTCGTCTGTCGCTACACGGGAGTCGTCGCGTTCAGTTTTGTTAGGAAAACAGCTTGAGCTTGGGCCAGGCGTTGGAGTTGGCAGTGACGCAATGCCGAGGGCTGTCCAACACGGTATCCTTGACGCTGTCGCCTACATGAGTGTTTCGCGTTCCGCCTCACTCCAATGCTCGATGAGCGAGAGTACATACTCTGGCTAGGTTGGCTATGCTGCATGCTTACCACGCGAACCTGAAACCCCCATGCGAGATTGAAACCACCATGCTCCGAGTAGACAGAGTAATGACGGAGACGTCCACATGCGCAGTACGCCCATTGCGGAGATAAGGTTTGCAACGACTACAAGTAGTTATATCCGTACTCTTTGCTTTGGTGTGATTGCATGGTTCAGGCATCGACGAGACTTGACGTCTTGAACGTGAAGCGGGGATGCTAGATGAGAGTGAAACCCAATATTGACCATGTCAAGGTATTCTCCATGTTCCCCGTACCAGGATTTCCAGGCTACATGACGAATTCATGAAGCGTACGCATACAGGAGCCGGTGTGTACGTGTTCTTTCTTGTTGTAATGTCTAAAAGTTAGTAGAAGATCGGGCAGACGTGAAGAAGTCATGCTGGTGGGGTGGTGAAGATCGTCTCCTATCTCCCGCTCACCGCACTGGTACAGAAGCTGAACAACCGCGCACTGTTACCGTGTACATCCATTAAGCGCGATGGCCTATATTTGGCTTCAGCTCATCCAGGAGCTTGTCAATCGCAATACCCAACACTAACGTCGCTTCCTACAACTCAATCTCGCGGAACCCCTCTCTCTGCTTCCTCCCAAGCGCGGCCAATTTCGCCCCCACGAATCATTACTTTCCGATATCTTTAATCTCCCATTTTGAACCTTCCCTCCACCCAAGTGTCTCCGCTCCAATCAGAGATGTGAGAGAGAGCGGACCAAGAGCCGAGTTCAGCAAAGTTCTGTATACAAGGTGAGAATCCTTATTTCCAGGTCCTCTCCACCTGGCTTCCTCCGGCCGGTAACAAGTCGGCAAAGTTGTGTGCCACACATGGTCAGAACTCGCACGGAAAGGAAAGTGGAGATGGCATGTGGCATGTCTGCGCATATGTACAGGCGCATCATGAACCTGCATTACCGATGCCCCGGGCTGCAAGACTACGAGCAGCTACGAGCCGGTAGTGTTGCTGTACGAAGGGTTAGTGTAGTGAGTGATCTTGGCACACGGTGGACACCGGGGCACATGAGATGTTTGACACGTCGGAACCTCGCAAAGTGCACACTAGGGGCTTTTGCGTGTATACTGTATCGTGTCGCCGAATGCACTAAGGTGGCCACAGTCACCAAGTGCAAAAATAAAATATGACTTGTTCATGAGTCGCTGCAAGTTGATGTGATGAGACAAGGTTGATTGTCGGCACTCGTGCAATCGACAGAGAGGACAAGGAGCGGAGACAAGCACGTCCGAGATCCAAAGGGGCGGGCGTAACGTAGCGGGCGGGCGTCGTGTCAACTGGTTTGCGTGGTTTTCTTAGTGCGACGGCTGTCACGCTTCCTTGTCTTGCGTGCTTTGCTGTTGCGAGCAAGGTACGTACCGAAGAGGGGCATTCTCGGTGCGGGTCCTGACAAAACAGTTTTTCTTGCATCTGCCACACGGCAGCCTTGCGCGTGTTCCGTCGTTGGAGCCTGTTGGACGGGTCATCTGGTCACCGTATCTGGCATGGGCATGCAGGGTCCTGCCTGTTTCAATGCTAGATTGGGCAGACATGCACTGACACACATGCAGTCATGGAGCTGTAATCTGTATCGTGAATTGGCATCATCACGATGGACATGTTGGGCGGCGGGAAACAAGCAAGGACCAAACATGATTGACCAGTTTGTGCTTCGTTCTGTGCTCCTTGTGTGCAGTCGCGAAAACATGCTCATTCGCTCATGCAAGCTATGCTACTTCTAATTTTCTCCGTCAAATAAAACAAAGCCTTACATAGCGCCGAGTATCGACACAAAGGCCCCGATACTTCAGCTATAGGCTGGAAGACATGCAAGTCAAAGCTTCCGTCAAATCTTGCATCTGTACCGAGAAAAAAACGAACGAGGTTGGGTACCGAACAGAATCCTGCCATGGCATAGAATCGAATTGGAAAGAAAAGAAAAACTCCCGTAACACCGTAGTCGCCATGACCCCCGTGAACTAATCGGGTAAAAGTGCAAAAGTTGTTGTAAAAGAACCAATGGTCGAGGGCGCAATGTGCCGTGGTATATTCGCAAAATGGAGCTGCGACAACACTGAGCTGAGCCAAGCCGAGCTCATATGGTTGTCGAAAGGGTGGTAAGACAGAAGCTGTTTGCTGAATCGAAGTGTAATGACGAACGCCGGGTCCCAATCCTGTGCCGCTATGCAGATGCTCATAAACGCGGTTTCAACGTGCGTACGTGTTCGTGTGTTGGAAGGATGCCATGGTGGTCAGTATGTGAGGCAGTAGACCATCATGATTGCGTGGTAGTGAGGGTTCGAGAGACGAGTGGCGTCCATGATGAGTCGGGGCCTGGGTAGAATACCGACTTGGTGTAAGCTCACTGCGCCGGTAGGGATGAGCACGAGCACTGATTGTTATTTGATGATTCTGCCCTTGCCCTTGACTTTGGACGCTTTTCCAGCGCCCGCAGAGGTGAGCTTGCTCGTTTGCATGAGCTCGCCAATATATCTGCCCGGTGTTAGTCACAGGTGTTGCGGAGCAGATGGCTGAGGTACGTACGATTGCAGGAACTTGTTGCCGCCTTCGAGCTTTTCATGCTCGTTCTTGACAACCTCGACGCGATCAACAATCTGCATCAGACTGGCTTGGAGAGCTTTGGCTTGTCTAGCAAAACGGTTAGCTTGATAAGGACTGGGACAATAAGTCAAAACGC